GTAAGTTACAAGTAAAACATGCCATCATACCATCTTTTGGTTTTATTATTCAAAAAAATATTGAAGTAATGAAATTGGGTTGTTAGCGGAATGCTAAATAAAACAGCAAAAGGGTTTATCTTCCATTTAATTCCACTTAATTAATTTTTGTATCCATGACAGATACGTATTTCGACTACAATGTGCAATGATGCAATGATGAAGGCTGCACATTGTAGTCGAAATACGTATCTGTCATGGATACAAAAATTAATTAAGTGGAATTAAATGGAAGATAAACCCTTTTGCTGTTTTAAAAAAATATTATTTTAACTGAAATGAGTATTTGCAACCTTGGTTTTCCTAAGAAGTAGATTTCCTGTTAATGCAGAGAGGAGATTCAATCAGAGCAATAGGGTGATTCTGAATACGTTTTGTCCAAAATTTATCGAGCTCACTACTGGGAAAAAAAGCCGATGATCAAAACGATGATGATGAAATAAAATTTGTGCCTATATTGTAATCCGTTTTTAGTAAATAATTAAGTAAATAAATCTTGGTTAAGAACCTTTTCAAAAATTATGCAGCTTTGCTCAAGAAACCCTATATATATATATCTCTTTATTTTGACATTCTGGAGCTATTTTTCTGTTTTTATTAGGGTGCCCCTAATAACAACAGTTTTTGCATTCTAACTTATTTGTTGTTCATTTAAGCATAAATGAGTAAAAGAAGAATTGTAGAACTAGCTACAACCTACATTTTTGCTCAAGACAGCAAGTTGCTTTGTTGAGAGTTACACTAAATTTTCGAATTAATTTTTGGTATTTTTGAAGATAATTGACTCAATTTTAAAAGAAGTTTATATCGTAGCTTTTTCCGCATAGAATTTTTACGACCTTTCAATTGCTGTATCAAGAATATAATTATCTTTCTAACTACATGAGATATCGACATTTGAAGACTGTATGTTTTTTAGATTAAAATTACCCATAATTTTTTAAATTTTAATGTATACCCAAATGCGAAGATGCACATCATAAATTTTCCTACAACTTGTCTGAAGATCACACTTCTTCGTAACATTAGAAACAAAAAAGTTAGAATAAAAACTGTTTTTAGGGACACCCTAACGCAACGCAGAAAAATAGCTCTAGTATGGTCAGATGAAGCACTAGAAAAATTGTTTCTTCAGCAAAGTTGCTTGAAATATTTTTGTACGACTTTGTTGAAAAATTACACCACCTATAACTTCAAACAAAAAAGTTAGATTTCTGATTTAAGAAAAACTGAAGAACACCCTAATCATCATGTTTAGGCCCATTTCAATATAAAAAAAACTTCTCCGAAGACACTAACCCTTTCAAATGAATAGCAACAGAGTAAATAATGTTTTCCTGCTAAATTTCCGTTTTGGAGCACTGCTCCCGGAGGTTTTGAAAATTGCTCCCAGCAGTGTGAAAATTGAACAGAAGTTGAAATTGAGCGAAGGGCCATAATGCGACAATACTAATCAAATGCCTAGCTCACTTGATGCGTGAGGGGTTTTGGGGTATTTCCTTAAATCCACTGCTGATGAGTAGTTGATTGAGCATGATCATAATATATCAGCAGCTTGAACCATTAATAACTTAAGCACCTTAAATTTAAACGAAAAATGGTATTGGACAAAGTTGTAGCAGAGGTAAAGCTATCAATTTCATATACAGTAATTCCAAATCTTTCTCGTTCATCTCCAAGATGGATGTTTAAGGTATACATTGGTGCAATAAGACCACTGAAAAAGCGTATGGGCTTCGTAGAACATTAGAAAAGATTTTCAAAAAGTGGGCTGATTAAATCGGGTTAAATTTTGAATTGGTTGAGTTTTTTCGATACGTCATTTGGCGTGAAACTGCTCTTCATACATCATTTCGATTAAAAGATACGTTTTCATGCTATGATTTATTGAAAAATATCAAATACACCATTTGGAGAACGGAAGCGCGAGTCAAGATGGCCTAATTCCAGCTGCCCATAGTAAACAATAGAGTTCTCCAGATGCACAAAAGTGTACGTGAGACCACGCACTACCTTTTTAAGTAGTTGTGATATCGCGATACCTTTTTGGTTCTTCTTCTAATTCATTTCTATATATGGATGTTGGATTTTAGTGTTCGTGAGATTGCGCTTGGAGATCTCTATAGAGTTCTCTACCACCGTTAGTATTAGTGAGCAGTTTCACTAATACAAGCGTTTTACTGGTTGAAAATTAAAAAAACAAACCGCTGTCATGACGAACACTTTGACAGCTGATTTCGTGGTTGAAAATAATAAACAAATCGATTTTACTCGGCTACACTAGCAACGTTGTATTAGAGAAATCTTACGACAAGAAGTCAATTATGTAAAGTTTCATCGAACTCGGAGGGGATAGAACCTGAAATTTGACGTACAGTCAACTTTCGCTCGTTGGGCTAAGCCCGTAGCTCACTTAGCTTTCGTTAGTTGGGCTGAGCTGTCAAGCTGAAAATTGGTTGAGGGATACACCGATTGTTTATTATCATCACAATCCTTTAGCAACTTTCCAAATTGTTCACACATGAGCCCCTCGAAAATGAATCATCACTGTCAGAAATGACGTTTGACTTCAATTTAGGTTGGCTAAAGCCCAACTAACGGGAGCCCAACTTAAACGTAACCCACTTAAACATAGCCCAACGAGCGAAACACGACGTATTTGCTATTTGACACGAATTTGTCACACTCTTCTTTCTAGGAAGAGTAAAAAGGTTCCCATTTCACTGATTATCTTATTACAATGCTCGTCAACTGACCAGACGGCATGGCTGTCAGTGACTGCAATCCATCCATTCATTCACAGACCGACTTCGATGATTGATTGCCATCGCACGTTTCGATATCTGAACTGTTATCACTGCGGTGGCGGCTACCGCTTAACTTACTGTTGGATTAAATATGTACTAGGAAGTGCAAGTCCATCGGTCGCTCAAGAAAATCCCCATGCTGTATACAATTTTGTCAACAAAACTAATTAAATAAAACAAGCGCCACCACCCCGTGCCACTGCTGCTGCAGGTGAGACAAATTGTGCATTGTGCAACCCACCAATCGCACAAGAATGCAGTTTGCGCCGCGTGGACTCGATTAGCACCGTACACTTGAACCCTCTAAGCCTTTTGTGCACTGCTGTAGCTCCATAATGATTAGCAACCACGTAAAGCCCCGAAATAGATTCACAATAGGATCGCGCTCCCGGTATGGAATTCGTTCATCACGCGCCTGTTTACTACTCACTTTAACACGTCCATTGTATGTTCGTTCAATGAGCACGAGCTATACGCGCCCCCTCTCCGCCTCTGATTTCCCTTGTGGAGAATTTTGTGAACCGTGACATAAGGTTGAGTATTCACAAGTTCGCAAGCTTGTTTCGCTGTATTCAAGGCTGGTTAAGAAATGATAACTATGTATCATTATGACGTCTTGATTCGGGCGAATGCAAACAAGAAGAATGGCTTTTCTATTGAAGTTAGTATTATGTACTAAAGAGGGGTGGTGGATTCCACGAGTAATGCCACAGAAGACAGACGCCAGCAAAGGGCATTGGCTGGGGATGTTGTGAATTTAATGGAAGAGAAAAAACGAATGTTGATTGCCACGTTGGAATTGACAACAGTGACGATGCGCGAAGATGCTTCTATGGCGGAAGGGGGCAAATGGGGACGCAATGTCGGGTGTCAATTCCACGCGAACGATGATAGGGGGGCTTTTGCACTGATACAAATTTAAAATTACCGGGAATTAAAAAAAAAACTTAAATGCTGACCGTGAAAATTCAGAATGTCATGTTACCATAGCAGATGATAAAAATTCACCCACTCAGGTTCAAATTTCACACAAACAAACAAAAAGAAAAACTCTTCTCGCACAATGACGAACCCATTTGTTCACCAAAGTAACGGTGCTGCGACACATAAATCGTGCCGAAAGTCGAGCTCAAGCAAGTCAGAAAAAAAATTAAATTTTCAATGTTTCCTCCCTCGGCCAATCCGTTTCGGACAACAAGGAGCGCAGACACGAAAAAGCAGAGCACTGCTCAGCCATGAACTGTGAAACTGCTCGCTGAAAATAATCAATCCCTCAACTCCTCGATCCCAGTGAACGGAGAAAAACCCATGTGTATCTTTAAAAGAAGAATAAATAGAAGAGAGAGTGTATTGTAAAAGATTTCCTCGATCATCGTCGGCGCTGTCGGCGCATTCGCTGAATTGAAACACCACAACAGTGTGCCTTCTTAGCAAAACTCATTCAAAATTGCGTACGGACTAAGATATGGACCAGAGGTGATGATCCAGTCCACTCTTTGATGAGATGGGCAGATTTGTTTGAATTTGGTTTGCCCGCCCCTCTAAGCAAGTGCATGCAGCGAATGTGTGATGAACTGTACTTTTAACTGGATGTCGTGGTTTTGCTACTTTCTCTCTCTCTCTCTTTCTATTGCTCGATGTACACTGTTACAAATTTGTATATTTCTATTTTTGCAGCTGTCAGTTTTCCTATGTTGCATGATCCTGTGATAACTAACTGTGATTTTTTTCTGTGTGACAACCCTAAGACTAACCAAAAAAAAAAATCAAAACTGAAGATACGATTCTGAACCGAAGCTTTCATTGAATTTAAGACAATCAGTATTACAATCCTGCAACTCAATGCTCAATCAGTGAAACTTTGAAGCCAAAAGTACAAATACTCGCACGCACACCAAAAACCAAAACAAAAAAGAAATTCTACACACACACACAGCGGCCTCAGCAACCCCCCTAGCGGCTGCAGCTAGTACTATTACCAAACCATCAACCGCCCCACCACCAAACAACCTTCATCATGCCTGCCAAAAACAAGCACAAGAATGTCGTGTTCAAGCAGCTCAAATTCAATGAAGACGAGGAGACGAAAGATTTGCAACAGAACGGCTGCTCCACGAAAAAGCTCACGCCTAACTACTCTATTATCTCTCTCAGTCAGGTGACGGAGGCATCGCTCGAGATATGGCGCACACTACCGGCCGCGATCCGGCAGGATCCCAGCCTGGCCTCATTCCGGCAGGAGCACGAGCGGTTACATGGTGAGTATCCTTTCTCTTCTGTTCGTTAGAGTAAGTAGATGTATTTCAAGCAACAGATGATTTCTCTATGTCAAACACCATGCGTCTCCGTGGAGCGCGAATGGCAGAGCAGAGGCTCCGAAGCTTTTCGTCTCCACAGAGTCGCAAAGAGAGTGAGAAGACAAGCTTAATTAAATAAACCGTGCCAAAAACGAACGGTTTTGTGGTTTTGTTGCCAAAATAGAACGGATACTGTATTCTAACAATATCAGATTATGCTCTGATAGCAGAATAAGCAATTAACATGTTAAAGCATACAACTTACCAATAACATAATATGATATTGATAGTAAAATGTTATATTATTTTGCTCTGGTTTTGCTATTTCCCTCTACCCGGGTAGAAGCGTTAGGAGCCTATTTTTGTGAATGGAGACTGTTTCCACTATAACTATTATTCATGAAAAAGATTAGAAATTCAAAATTTATCAACTAAAAAAATAATTCAACATCCAAAATCCAACGGCGCCGGTGGTGTAGTGGTAAGCGTGATTACCTCTCACCCCAGCAGGCCTGGGTTCAATCCCAGTCGGCGCCGCCGGGATGTTCTGAGGCATAACATCTCTGATCACGCTATCCTTCGGAAGGGAAGTAAAGCCGTTGGTCCCCGGTTCATGAGTTTGATGGGTCGATAGGTAGGGTCCAGGTGTGGGAGCTGCCTTCCTGGCACGTCGGTAGCATTGGTGCTCAGCACGGAAAACAAGATCGACGGAAAAAAACAAACCAAAGGAAAAAAAAAAAAAATCCAAAATCCAACATTGAAAGTAGAAAAACACGTTTGAAATGATTAATTCAGGAATCATCAAAAGAGACTCCCCTATTGACGCATTTCGCGCCAAATCGTATTCGGAGCTGAAAGCACCCTCTCAGATTTCAATGAAACTTTCTGGATGTGTGGACCTTGACTAAATATGCCACTTTGCATACTTAGTTTTTCCAAAATTTATCTAGACTTACATTTGAGAAGGGCCAAACTTTTTCTGTCGATTTTTTTCAAAAAAATATTATGGAAAAATTACAACTCGTACAAATATGTGTTGTATGGATGACTTTTAGGAAATTCTCCAAGTTATCATCTACGGATTGATGGCCGCTCATTGATGGACCTGGATCATCACTATGCTGCTGCTCACTAGTTGACGGTTGGATATTTACTTCATTTCCCACCGATCGGCGTTTTTTCATAACTGGACTTCTATTATAAGATATCACGCTACGGCATGATTCACAAATGCTCATCGTTTCATCAATTTCGTGGTTATATCCCATAGAATGTATTTTTTTCTACCATCGTTGACGATATGGCCCGTAACTTATTTCGGTTGCATCTCGGATTATTTATATTTGCACAACATTTCAATCCTTTGAGCCTTAATTTACTACTTTGGTCCATGATAATAATTTTACTACAACTTGTCTTCACAACTTTCGTTATCAGATTGACTGCTGCTTGTATGAAATCAACCTTAGTTTTATAGTGCTCATAGGTAGAATGAAGTGGTAGGTATATAATGTTAATGGTTGAGGTATAAATAACAGAAGGGCATATAGAATTATGATGCGATACGTTGACTTCCCAAATCGTTGTTGATTCCAAAGAAAATCTCAATTTAAATTTTATTCATACCTAATTCTTTATGGATACTTTGAGCTAAGAATTCTAAGTTGCTATAGGAGTATCGGATTTTGCCTCAGTAGTAGACAATATAATCAATTATATTATTTTCTAATGATATAAGCCCTTTTCATATGGAATTCTCGATTAATCCAAGTTATAAGTTGCTGATTAGACAAATATGAATCACAAATGGAGCTTCATTGGGTTCTGAGATGATTTTGAGCTTCACTGGTTTAGTTTTGTGTAAAAATGGTACGTTAAAAAATCAGTTCAGACATGAAAAAGTTTTTGTAAGAAAAACTTTTTTTCCTTGAAAGTGCCCATCTCGCGATGTATCGACGGATGGTAGTAAACATAGTTACCTATCTTGAGGCAAAGCTTCATCCAAATCAAACAAGGCCATTTTTTAAATTGACTTTAAATTTTTTAAATCTATTTTTTTCAGTGTAGGTTTCAAATGAAATTTTTTTTTCAGTATTTTTTTTTCGATAATTTGGTCAATTTCCTAAAAGCAATCAATGCGACATATTTTTGTTGGAGTTGTCATTTTTCCATAATATTTTTTTGAAAAAAATCGGCAGAAAAAGTTTGGCCCTTCTCAAATATTAGTCTAGATAAATTTTGGAAAAACTGAGTATGCAAAAGTGCTTATTTAGTCAAAGTCTACACATCTAGAAAATTTTATTGGAATCTGAGAGGGTGCTGCCAGCTTCGATTCAATTTGGCGCGAAATGCGTCTATTGCACTGCTTTGGCTCCGTAAAGATTTATAAATACTGTTAATCCTTTTAAAATTAACGGTTTGAAATTTTGTAATTGAATCTAGATTCATAAATTTCAATTCTAAACTAGATAGTGTTAATGTTCCTCATGTTGGCCTAGGTATCTGTAATATTGGGCCCATGTAACAATTTCGAAGGAAAGTATTTTTTAACAATTGTAACCAAAAATGTTCCTTTTGTTTTGGCCAGAATACACATTGTCCAAAGAATAAAAATAATTTTTATCGACGTGCCTTCTTTAGATCCATAGGTCACCATTAGAGTCATTTCCGCTATTTGAATTTCATATGAAAATATTTTGATTGACCATTTTAATTTGAAAAATAAAGCACCCAAATTAGAAATAAATCAAAATAGAACATTAAAAGTTAAAAAAATAAATAAAAGTGAAAAAAAATATTTTCGAGAGGGGTCATCCATAAATTATGTGAGTCTATGAGTGATTATTATACCCCTCTCACTCCATGTAATACAATGTTTAAGATTTTAAGTCAACCCTCCTCCTCCCTAAAATGTAGTAAGTAAATAAGTAAGAATACAAAATTTGCATAAAATTATTGATTATTGAGTTGAGAAATTTTTAAATCAATTGATCACTTTTTCGTATGCTCATTCAATGAATGTTCAGGTTTTCACGGCATAAAAACAGCTAAGATCAAATTATAATCTTAGTTGGTGGTTGAACAAATGTTTATTGATTTATTGCTATAGTTTTGGTCTTTATTGGAAGAGTCTGTATGATGTTAGATTTATTTTAGTAAAACGCTCGATTTTCAACTTTTTACCTAGTGGCCAAATTTTAGTAAAATTAGTGGCATATGAATGATCTTTATTACGACTAAAAATGAGCAAAATTTCATGAAGATATATTCATTTTATTTCAAGTAAATTAGGTTTTTCAATAAAAAGGCGTTTTTTTATAAATTGTTTTACCTTTTTTTTATGCTCAATACTGAGCCAATGAGGTTTCAATGGATATTATTCAGGGATTGGGAGGCATTTAAATTATATATGAATGAATGTCTGCACGGGGGAAGGTGGTTCTAATTCTCTGTAAAACGATCTGCGTAGTTTATGGACAGTCCCAAAACAGCTGTCAGACTATCAGCCAGTTTCATATACAGGGTGCGTGACGAATTTTTGCAGTAAATGACATATTTGAGAAAAATTACACCAGTTAGCTATTCTAGCAATGAATGTTATGTGATTTATTTTCTTTCGCAAAATATGGAAGTTGTAACTAATTTTATTCAAAAAAAATCGCCTTCCCTTTCGACGACTGTAGCTAGACGCTTCCGGAAACTGCCATATGCACGTTTGACAATGTTTTAATCCATAGATGTCATCACTACCTTGATTTTAGCTTTTAGAGACTTAAGTGTGGTGTTAGGGGTTCTATTGGTATTCCGTTCGACGATGCCCCGTACAAAATAATCCAACGGATTGATATCGGGACTGCTTGGGGGCCAAATTTCTTTCTCCCAAAATTCCGAAATATTTTCCGCAAGCCATTTCTGTGTTTTATTAGCAGTATGAGCAGGTTCTCCGTATTATCACTTTCCTAGGCCTTTTTTTATATTAAACACTGTTCTTTCAGACACATTTATCCACCGAATTATTTCTATTACGCTTACTTCGGCGTGCAACAAAGCGACAGCGGCTGACCGATTGCTCTTTTGTTTCGACATCTTTACGTTTACTCAACACTATTTGTTTACATTTTACACCTAACAGTATGAGCAATTCAGTGCTGCCAAATATATCTAAATCATGATCCGCAAGCATGAGAAATTACTATTTGAAATTTACTGCAAAAATTCGTCACGATTGAAGGAAACCTCACTCGGAGAGGGACATAAACAATTACTTATGTTTCTGAAATTCTGTTGATATCAACTTCGGATCTGTCGGATTCTGTTTAGTTATATTATGCCATATGTATTAGGTACATCTCAAATCGGCTTGTAGGTGGTCATATGGCTCAATGAATTTTGTTTTGAGTGCCATTGACCATTAGAGTGATGCAAAACTTGAAATTTTCGCTCCACAGTACTTAAACGATTCCAAATCGGATCCTGACTAACCTCTCAAAATTTGAACCCATATGGTGAGAAACTGAGATGGCGCAAACCATTTGAAGTTTGTATGGGAATTACTATGGTAAAACCAAGATTTTTGTTCATGTCTATCTAATAATTCACCATATCAATCTGCTTCAAAAACTTTCAACTGTACTTGTAGGAAATTTTCCCAGCTACAACTTTGCTGAAAACTACTTTTTCATTAAATGCAAGGATCGAATGTTATCAATGGTTCAATGCGCTGATGTCTTATGATCATGCTCAATCAACTGCTCAGCAGGCAACATTGGTGTTTCTGGGGCGTTGAATAGGACACAAAAATCATGGCTACTATGTCACACTGCCAAATACAGTGTTGCCTACAGAGCAGCTGCTTGATCATGTCATAAGTTCACCAATCTCTTAAATAATTTTCCTGTCTCGTTTTACATAGAAACGATTTTGAGCAAAGTTGTAGCTGAGAAAATTTTCTATAAGAATAG